TCGCGTAAAAATATTTTGTTGGCGAGAGAATAAATTTACAACTACGCGCGAGAGTAAATTTTAAGTTTCTGAGTTGGACTCTGGTGGCGCTAATAAACATACGTTTCAAATGTGAAACCAGCTTTAGAATTAATTTGACAGCTCGCCGGCATTACATACATATTATATAAAAATAAGTCCTGTTGGGTTCTTTCATACGTAAGTACTAAATTAAATGTCATTATTAAATAAAAAGAAGTACTTGTCTTCAGCCTTAGTTTTTAGCTTTAAAATTTTTAATGGGTTCAGATGTAAGAAATTACTTTGTAAATTTGATGATTGACTACAACCAAATAAGAGGCAGGAATATTAACGGGGATCAACGCCTTATTGAAGAAAATGTTATCCTACTGGAGAATCACTGCCATACATTGGGAGTCTTCTTGCTTCTTGCTGAGGTAGGTGCTGTACAAAATTTACTAATAAATGTATACAACAAGATTTTCGAATTATTTTCCGGACTGGACTCAATGCTTGATGGTAAGTTTTCTAAGCAGAATATATATGTAGATGGTACTTGATGAAATTTTTTACCATTCACAATGAGTAAGAAAACATTAGCTTTGCATGTTGATATTTCTGCATGCCAACATATTAGAAAATAGGTTTTCATTTAAAAAAAAACGAATTTTGTTTTTACAAAAGAATGTGAACCAAATATGGCAGAAAAGTCTTTTATAACACCTTTATTACGACTTGGTAACGTTGGAAGACCGAGGAAAGATGTTTGTAATGAGCAAATTATCTATGCTAAAAGCTTTTTTAACAGCTGGAGTGCAGTCTCACGTTTTCTTAATATTTCAAGGAGTACTGTTTATCGGGCTAGAAAATCCTTGGGTATTGTTAGTACATTTGTAGACGATGACCAATTAAGCACACATCTTCAGAACATTTTGCTACCAACTTCCAATGCTGGGGAGGTATAATTTTGGGAGGCTTACGCAGTCGTGGTATTCATGTGCCCCGTTGGAGAGTCAGGGAACAGTTAAGAATTTTAGACCCTGTTGGCAGAGCATTAATGAGAAGGTTTACAATTCAGAGGAGAGTTTACAAATTCAAAGGACCAAATTATTTATGGTAAGTTTTTATTTGAGTGAAATGCCAAATTGGACGGCTTGAAAAATTTTGATTTCCTTATTTTTTGAAATTTTGAGATATTTTTTATTACTTGTTCAAAGAAATCGCTTTTTTGTTCATAACTTTCTTAATAATGGTCCAAATTAAAGCTTTTTTTTAAATCTTTGTTTTAGATGGCCTTTACAGAAAAAAATACAAAAAGTTTTTAATTACGATTTAAAATTTTGAGTTTGAACTTTCAAATCTTGTTTTTGAAAGTGTGTATCTTTCGATTAAAAAAAAATGTATTTCAAACTACTATTCTTTTAACAACTTTTAAGACCCTTGTGGGCCGTCCATAATTACGGTTATAGTCGTACGATTATATACATTAAGTCTCAAAGCGTTTTAAGCCTTTTCCAAAACGGTGTTCAAGAGTTTGGATTGCCTAACAGAGTTCGCGGCGATAGAGGCACGGAGAACATCGCGACAGCCGAGTATATGATTAATAGAAGAGGGCTGAATAGGGAAAGCTTCATAGTTGGGAAATCCGTTCACAACCAAAGAATAGAACGGTTGTGGGCGGAAGTAAATCGTGTTGTAACAAAACAATTTAATGAGTTATTTTTATATATGGAAAACCAAGAAATGTTAAGTGAGCATAATGATTTAGACCTGTTTTGTCTATCATTTATTTACTTGCCAAGAATAAGAAGAAGCTTGTTTTTGAATACGTAAAAAATACTCTGTATATATAGCAAATAACATCGTTTTTTATATATTTTTATTTTAAAAAATTAGAAAAATATAAAATTTCTATAAAATAAACATTCATTTCCACAGAAACATAAAACAAATATTATCCCTATAAAATATATAAACAAACATTCTTAAAAATCGTAACTAAAACAATGCCATTAGGCAAATCCGAACGCCATGCCATTTTTAATTCCAAAGTCCATATTTCTTTTAAAAGATTCATATTCTTCGTGATGGAAGGGGAAGTATGATGCAACATGTGTTGGCTTTAAGGTAGAAAGAAGGGTCATTATGTAAAAATTCCAATTTCGGTTGTATTTCAATCCTAGTACTGGAACGCATTTGGCGCCCGTTGCAAAACATAGAATATCAGTTAAATGTACTTCTGCATGTTGTTCTAAGAAAAAAAACAAATAGAAAATTATACTTCTAAGCCATCTTTCCCAATATTTCCTGACCTTCCCTTCGCATTCTGACAAATAATCCCACCAAAATGCAAGTATCTCTGATTCCTTATTACGCAAGTTGCTTCCCATCTCACTTAGTACTGGCTGGAAAATAGATTTGATGGTTTCGGCCTTCAGAACTTCCTTCTGATAATAATTTTTTTAAATCTTCTGGAAAAATCTTTAACCTGTTAAGAAGTTCATTTGCATTAAATCCATCGACAAGTTGATCTAAGCCGGGGGTCTTACACGGTGGATAAGATAAAATTCTAATGCATCTGAAAGACAGATATTTATGGCGCGCCGTTTGATTTTTTATTCAGGAATTATTTATTTCTCCATTGAATTTCACATATCTCTAAATCAATTTCAGATATGTAAAATTAATTTCAGATATCTCTAAATCAATTTCAGATATCCCAAATTAAAGTTGCAAATGTGATATTTATTTATAAATAAAACATACCGAGTCAGAAATTTAATTCATTGCATTAAAAATATCATAGAACAAATTAAAAAATGCAGTAAATATTAATGTTTTAAGTGATATTTTTAATTCCTTGAATAAAAAATATCATGGGACAAATTTATATCTTAAATTAGCAGCATCATAGGAGAAATTAATAAATCAAAATGTTAAAGTGATGTTTTTAATTCGTTGAATAAAAAATATCATAGGACAAATTTATAATTGAATTAACAATTTCGTAAAAGAAATTTATAATTCGAATTAGAAATATCATGCAATAAATTAAAGTTTTATACATTAAGTCTCAAAGCGTTTTAAGCCTTTTCCAAAACGGTGTTCAAGAGTTTGGATTGCCTAACAGAGTTCGCGGCGATAGAGGCACGGAGAACATCGCGACAGCCGAGTATATGATTAATAGAAGAGGGCTGAATAGGGAAAGCTTCATAGTTGGGAAATCCGTTCACAACCAAAGAATAGAACGGTTGTGGGCGGAAGTAAATCGTGTTGTAACAAAACAATTTAATGAGTTATTTTTATATATGGAAAACCAAGAAATGTTAAGTGAGCATAATGATTTAGACCTGTTTTGTCTATCATTTATTTACTTGCCAAGAATAAGAAGAAGCTTGTTTTTGAATACGTAAAAAATACTCTGTATATATAGCAAATAACATCGTTTTTTATATATTTTTATTTTAAAAAATTAGAAAAATATAAAATTTCTATAAAATAAACATTCATTTCCACAGAAACATAAAACAAATATTATCCCTATAAAATATATAAACAAACATTCTTAAAAATCGTAACTAAAACAATGCCATTAGGCAAATCCGAACGCCATGCCATTTTTAATTCCAAAGTCCATATTTCTTTTAAAAGATTCATATTCTTCGTGATGGAAGGGGAAGTATGATGCAACATGTGTTGGCTTTAAGGTAGAAAGAAGGGTCATTATGTAAAAATTCCAATTTCGGTTGTATTTCAATCCTAGTACTGGAACGCATTTGGCGCCCGTTGCAAAACATAGAATATCAGTTAAATGTACTTCTGCATGTTGTTCTAAGAAAAAAAACAAATAGAAAATTATACTTCTAAGCCATCTTTCCCAATATTTCCTGACCTTCCCTTCGCATTCTGACAAATAATCCCACCAAAATGCAAGTATCTCTGATTCCTTATTACGCAAGTTGCTTCCCATCTCACTTAGTACTGGCTGGAAAATAGATTTGATGGTTTCGGCCTTCAGAACTTCCTTCTGATAATAATTTTTTTAAATCTTCTGGAAAAATCTTTAACCTGTTAAGAAGTTCATTTGCATTAAATCCATCGACAAGTTGATCTAAGCCGGGGGTCTTACACGGTGGATAAGATAAAATTCTAATGCATCTGAAAGACAGATATTTATGGCGCGCCGTTTGATTTTTTATTCAGGAATTATTTATTTCTCCATTGAATTTCACATATCTCTAAATCAATTTCAGATATGTAAAATTAATTTCAGATATCTCTAAATCAATTTCAGATATCCCAAATTAAAGTTGCAAATGTGATATTTATTTATAAATAAAACATACCGAGTCAGAAATTTAATTCATTGCATTAAAAATATCATAGAACAAATTAAAAAATGCAGTAAATATTAATGTTTTAAGTGATATTTTTAATTCCTTGAATAAAAAATATCATGGGACAAATTTATATCTTAAATTAGCAGCATCATAGGAGAAATTAATAAATCAAAATGTTAAAGTGATGTTTTTAATTCGTTGAATAAAAAATATCATAGGACAAATTTATAATTGAATTAACAATTTCGTAAAAGAAATTTATAATTCGAATTAGAAATATCATGCAATAAATTAAAGTTTTCATTTGATATTTTTAAATAATTTAGAGATATGTGAAATTCAATGGAGAAATAAATAATTCCTGAATAAAAAATCAAACGGCGCGCCATAGATATTTTTAAAATAAACAAAACATATTTGAAAGAGAAAAACTTACTTTTAACGATATTATCTTTTTGTTCAAAATTTGTAAGATCCATCAATCCAGCAATTTGAAAACAGGAACTTTCATAAATTATTTTTCTCATTTCCTCCAAACTACTACAGTCTTGCACCGCCTGAATTTCTCCCTTAACATCAACATCAGCAATCTCTGTCAGAGTGGGTTTCGCACCATCGGAACCATAAATGAGATACGATAATAGAGTATTTGACAGAAACCTTGGTCCAAGTCCAGCATGAACTATGGCTAGAGATATAATCCTACCTACTTCAAAGTAGTCTTTCTTTTCTAAAAGCTCTGTCGAATATCGTAGACTTTTTTCATTATCGGGACCTTCAAATATTCTGCTGTTCCTTAGCCATTCTAGAAGCAATCTAAACATTTCTCGCGTCCAACATCAATTGCTCCCTCTGTAACGTTTTCTACGTCAGTAAACGTAACTGAAATGCGATTAAACATATCAAATGCTGCTCTGTTCATGGCCCTCTTGCAGCATTTGTAAATTTCCTTTCTATATATATAGAAATTCGACTTCTCTTCTTTTATTTGTTCTTTGTACCAGTTAACGAGTTTCATTAAAGGTCAGTTTTGTTTCCAAGGAATTTTGTTATTGCAGTTTTCATTTCTTGTTCAAATATGTAATCTTCAGCTATTGTTTCATCCCAAAACTCTTGTGTATTGTCTTCCGTACATTTCGTTTTTTTCTGGTTCATTGGGTATTTCATTGTCTTCTACGTCAAATAAGTGGCTTTCTTCATTTGAAATCGACGCTAATGGTCTCAAATAAACGATTTTATGTAAAAATGCAGTACAGAAAACTCTGCCATCAAATGTTGTTCCCAAAGCAATATTGGGTTTAACTAAATTTCGTCCCATAGGTATTAATATTTCAAACGAAACGTCGCCTACTTTTTCTTTAAAAAGTTCTTTCAAAAAGCCTCTGATTTCTTCTTCTGTTTAGGATTTATTGAAATTGGCCGCCAAAACACCAAATCCTGAAATTCATAGCATAATAATTGAAATGTACTTATTGTACCCCTCTCAAGCAGATTTTTTAAGTAAAATCATGAAGCTTTGACTTTAAAGTAAAAATCTTTTGAAGTTATGTATGTTTTTTTACTTATTTTAATAACCGTTAACGTAATTTTTACGAAAGAAAAAGTTTATTTTACTTAATGGATTATTTAACGGTAAGTTTAACGCCAACATGTTTACTTAATGATAAATGTTACTGAGTGTGTCATCTTTTTTTCAATATTAAGACAAATAGGGTCTGCGATTTTTTTAAGAATTTTAGTGGTAATAAAAATTATTAATAATGATCCAGACGTTTTTTCTTCTTATTCATAATTTTTTTTTTACTTAAAATTAAAATGTAGGTTCATTATCTTCATATAGTAGTTAAAGTTGACATCCATTGTACACAACACATTAATAGGTTATAATGTTACTTTTATAGTTTTAAAATTAGGTATTAAAACAATTCATAAAATTATTGTTCATGCTGCTTGGGCTACTCTATCTTATTCTTTTTTTAAAGGTTATTTTTTTATTTATTCAAAATAAACATACCATCTTGAAAAGCTGTTGCTTTTTGCTGGGAATTATAACTTGTGGTAGTCCTTGTTGATTTTAATAATATTACATCCCGCTTGAATTCTAAAAAGGCCTCTTTAAAGTCCCTTTTTCTCTGTTTCCCTTTTCTTGTTGAGGACTGAGGAGAATTCAAATTAGCAACTTGGCTGCTCTGTCTGCTAATGCTGGGAAATAGTCTTCTTACTTCTTCCCTTACTGTGAGTGCATTTATTCTTAGTCCACTAGCACCAGGTCCGTGATTTATTGATGTTGCATGTGTCACCGTTGAATTTGCTGTTCCCAGTTGCCGGTAGTATTCTGGATTATTAACTATTTCGTTTTAATCAAATAAATAAGAGCAAAGCTTATTAGTATGTAAGAAAATGCCAGTCGATATTTTGATTAAAAATATTGGGAATGTAAATTTTACAAAACAAAAGTACCTACTTCTTTTATTTATTAATGACAGATTTAATTTAGTACTTACCTATGAAAGAATCCATATATGTATCATAGAAAAAGAATATAATATATTATGTATTTTTAAAATTCTATCCTCAATGCCGGCGAGCTGCCAAATTACTTAAAATTTACTCTAAGTTGTACATTTATTCTCTCGCCAACGAAATATTTTTACGCGAGAATTTTTTTTTTATTTTTAAACAAGAAATTATTTTTTCGCGCGGTTAAAATTATTTTTCAGACAGGATTTTTTTTTCTCAACAGTATTTTTTTCTCGCGTAATAATTTAATTATGACACAAACGGCGCCTCATACTAGCCGTTGTTCTGTAAACATTTAAAAAATTTAATTGGCGCAGTGTCGGTAGGATAGTTACGTCGGGACTCGCTGAGAAAAGCATAGTGCCTTTTTGCGAAGTTTCGTCAGTTAAACATGACTAAACAGTCCATCGGGGACAAACAACAGAAAATACTAAACGACTATAGACAGCTGTGCAGTTCCAACAAGACCAACAAGGGCTGAAGAAAACCGAGGAAGACGCATGCGACCTGTATACCACAAGGTAGAGCATTTTTCTTATCAATTCCTTTGGTTCTTTAAGGCAGATATATATTAAAAATTTGATCTCTATATAAGATCACGTAGTTTAAGTTAGGAAAAAAAAATCAAATTAAGTCAAAATTGATTCATTTGAAGAAATAACCAATCATTTAAAAAATTTAAACATAAACCCAGAAATAGATATGGATCAACCTCTTAACTATCAACTTTTTAGATTAACTATTGATAACATACCGACAATTTCTGGCGATACACACGTTTTAGAAATTTTTATTGATTCGTTTGATTTTCTGATAAACATTTACAAAAATGTAACCGATGCAAACGATCCCATAAACAATTTTCTTGTAAAGGCTATTTTAGATAAGCTTTCTGGCAGAGCTCAATATTTAATAGGTTCGAGACAAGAGTTAAATACGTGGACACAAATTAAAGATACATTAAGATCATCTTTCGGAGACAATCGCAATTTGGATTGTCTTGTTCAAGATTTAATTATTTTGCGACCTTTACGAAATGAAAGTCCTATTAATTTTGGTTCAAGAATACAATATGAGCGTAGTTTAATATTTTTAAAATTAAAATCTATTTTAACATATTCCGAAGCAGAACGCGTTTTACACGTTAACAATTATAGCGAACTTTCTTTAAAAACTTATATTAGAGGTTTATCTGGCAGACTACAAGACATAATAAGGCTTTGAAATCCAAAAGATCTTGAAGAAGCCATTTCATTTATAATTGAAGAAGAAAATTTTGCATACGCTAATAATCAATCGCGTCAAACGACACAATTACATATGGCTAACAAAAGTATCCATAAACCTTTTCATCATACCTTTTATTTTAAAAATTCTATACCTGCTAGACAAAATAATTCATCATTTCAACATTTTCCCACTGGGCCTGTTCAGATGATACCACACCCAAGTCCACCTCAACAAAAATTCCCAACAAATAAACAAGTGTTTGGCTCTTCCCAAGTAAAATCCAATAAAAATTATTTTTAAACCAACTGACCAAATTCCATTAAATAAAACTACCCCTATGTCAGGTGTAAGCCATTTTTCCAAAGGACAATTTCACACCCTTTTTTTATAGAGGTTTGGGAAATGTGTTAATGCACGTACCCAGCTGTTGATCTGTCGCTGGGCCTGTGTGGGGCTCGGACTTCTCCCCACCCACTAAAACCCTTTCCTCTCTTCGTGTTGCCCCCTGCCAGGAACCGCCTCTCGGCATTACTTCTGGCAGGACACGGTATCTTTCTCCAGCTCTCGCAGCCTGTCCTCGACTGTCACATATACTCACTAGCTTGGACCTTACATCTTAAAATATCACAGTAACCTAAGTCTAAATTCTGACACTGACACATGTACGACTAGAAACACTTTATATCACATATTATCACAGCTTGTTGCTTTTTTCCTCCTCACACTCCCTTAGGGTGGCCTCTCTTGCTCGCTCCCTCGAGTCTGGTCCGTTATCCTCGACATGGGCCCTTTCCCTCACCATTAGGTCCATTGGTGGAAGTCCTGCCACTACCTGCACCGCCGCTGTGGACACCGTTCTGTATGCTGCTGTTAGGCCAATGGCTAGTCTCCGGCTTACCCTGTCCAGCATCTCCACGTTCCTGTCGTGTTTCAGCGCCTCCACCCATTGGCTAGCACCATACAGTGTAGCCGAGATGACTGAGGATGCCATGACCCTCCTCTTGCCGCTCATTGGTCCAAAAGTGCTGGGCATGACTCTGCTCAGCACCTTCGTCATCTCAGCGGCCTTCTCGCACGCTTTTTTGACATGGTTTTTCAATCCTCATGTTTCTTCCCATGTGCACTCCAAGATATCTAACTGTTTCCTGGCTTTCCACCACCTGACCCTGTACCCTCATCTCAAGCTTCGTGAGAGTTCTTCTGCCCACCAAGATCAACAGTTCTGTTTTCTTGGCGGCCACCTTGACACCCATTTCTCTCAGCGTTTCCACCACTGTCCACACCGCGTGCTCCGCCTTCGCCACTAGCCTTTCCTCAGTCCTTGCCCTCGCCACTATCGCCAGATCATCTGCATATGCGACAAGGTCTATTCCCTCTTCCCTGGGGATCCTCAGCACCTGGTCGTAAAAGACGTTCCAAAGGGTCGGGCCCAGTATTGAGCCCTGCGGCACCCCACAGTTCACCCCGACCTTGTCCCCCTGGGGTGTTATTATGGCCCTATCCGAGAGGTAGCTCTCAATGAGTGAGAGATAATTTCACACCCAACAACAACAGTTTCAACCTACCCCTATGTCAGGTGTAACCCGCTTCTCAAACATTTCTGCAAGAACAATTCAAAACCCTCCTCAAAACCAAACATATTTTCGATCATCCGGACCTAAAAATTTTAAAGCCAAAGAACGCAATAACTTTAAAAATAATCCCACAAATGATTACGACCTCTTTGAAGATAATGCTTATTCTTTACATCACAATCAAATAAATACTGAGTATACATGTGATACACGACAATACTTGGAAAACGACACCAACGAACTAAAATTTTATGATAATAAAAGTAATGTAGTAAACGAAAATTTTATTTTAGTTGCCCATAAGCCACACAAAACATTAAAAATCTCGACATAATCGAAATCAATAATACGTGCGACGACAATGCCTTATCATATATTACACTTAGCGATCCTCCTATAAAATTATTAATCGACACCGGAGCAACAAAATCAATTCTAAAACCTAAAATAGCCGAAAAATTATTCCCTAATATATTTTACGATCCATGTTCAATAAAAACCTGTTATGGGGAAAACCAGTGTAGTTCAAGTCTTAAATTCCTGTTTCTTATCTCTTAGGTTTAGATACAAACCAAACTATTACATTTCATCTTTTTGATTTCCACGAATTTTTTGATGGTTTGATTGGATTTGCAGACATAATTAATTTAAATTTGAAAATTGATTTATTTTTTATGACCAAATTATGTAGTATACCTTTATTATTTAGGAAACCCCAAAAAAAAAAATTAAAATAAAACTTAACTCGTTAGAAATACATAAAGGGAAAGCAAACACAAATGCTTTATCAAGAATTGAAATTAATCCGTTAGACGTCGCACATAGGTGATTTAAAGGATTTAGGCGGTCAAAATTATTTAAGGGTGTAATTTGACTTTAAATCATACATTTTATTGTAAGGTATTGCCCTTTGTAAAATTGGCATGTTTTCCATGCCGAGAAAAAAAAATAAAAAATACAAGAAAAAATCTTAAAAGAAAACAATTTCTATGGAAAATTTTACAAACAAAAAAATATTCTACATTCTAAATTCATAAGTTTGGGTGAAAATACATATTTTAACATATTTAATTATTCATCTATGGATAAATCTTGATCCGTAACTGAAAAATCAGATTCGGTATTCGGTTCAGCCGATAGTAACATATTGATTGTTTTAGGGCAAAATAATCTTGGTTTATTTCTTGTTTTTCCTTTCATACTACTTAATTGTGGATATGAACTTAGTAATAGTCTGTTATAAATATCAATATTGCATTCCTCCCTCGAGAACTTAGTTTTCGAGATATAAGCGAAAATGCTTATTTTTGGCTTCTGCTGCCTCTTCAGACAACTGTCCTAGGGGTAATAAGGCATTTTCGATAATAACTGCGCCATAAATTAATATTTTATGCATGGTCGGAGTCATTGGAGCCATGTATATTGGTCGACATACAATTTCGCAGTTGCCATGGCATAATCATTAAATTGATGGATATTTATCTTATGACCACTTGAGATAGCTTCCAGTATAACCTTTAATCTATATATTAATTGAAACTTTTGTTATATCCGCAGCTAATTGTGGGGTTTTCAAAGAATCTTCGGCTAGTATTACCATCATTGGTATTCCCGAAATTGGCTTTTGGCATGTCGATTAACACCTTTCCTGTATATGTATTTTGGTAAGCATTTCTAAATCCTTTTCTTCATTAGTTCTCTTCTCACTATACTTTTTTACTGGAAATTTATAAGCCAGGTGTAAAACGCTTTCAAACAATTGAATTCTGGCGTGTAGTACAGATAGTCCAAATTCAATAGCCTTAGAAGTTGTATTAAACTTTTGGGTCACCGACTTGTTGATTTAGTACCGGTTGCCGCGTTGCACATCTTGCCATCGATCATCGTCATCTTAAAGATATGTTCAAACGTAAATGTACTACCATGCAAACTTACATCAGTAGGTGTTAATTTCTTACTAGATTCTTCAACGTAACTAATTTCTTCCTTTGTTACGTCAGTAGATTCTTTGACAAACCTAAATAGTATAGGTCTGCAATATCTAGGCGATGAGGGTATTGGGTTTTGCCAAATTATATTTTTGCCTTGTTGGCCGCAATATATTTGAAGTGGTACAAAAGAGCTTAGGAATATATTTGCGTCTGAGGCAGCGTCATCGTCAAATTTTTGTTTATATTGAGCTTGTTGGGATCTGTC